TGTGTGTGTGTGTGTGTGTGTGTGCGTGTGCGTGTGCGTGTGTGTGTGTGTGTGTCGTGTGTCGTGTGCGTGTGTGCGTGTGGTCGTGTGTGTGTGTGGTGTGTGTGTGTGTGTGTGTGTGTGTGTGTGTGTGTGTGTGTGTGTGTGTGCGTGTGCGTGTGCGTGTGCGTGTGCGTGTGCGTGTGGGTCTGTGTGTGTGTGTGTGCCCGCGTGTGAAAAGCTGGTGTTGGTGAAGTGTAGCTGTCTTAAAGCCACGTGCAAGCGTCCGTGAAACGTTGTGGACAATTCCCACATCATGCGGTGACGACCACATTGCAGCACGAACACACAAACACATAGTCGAGTTGCTACATCCCGTCAGCCCACGCTTGCACGTATTGTGACGCGTGTTGTGTCGTGCAGTCATGCGACCACAAGCTGCCTTTAGGGATGTGATTGAATAAGCGAAACCTTTTGATCTCAGCTTTTCCACGAGAACGGCGAGAACTGGATCTATGACTCACCGTTGCAACGGCGCCTAGCGGAGAAGGGCATCCCCACGGCCCCGCTCGATGATGATGCCATCTCCATCAGCTAGCGCCCTTCAGCACGATCGGCGAGAAAGGAGGAAAGAGAGGATCCCCTCGTATGATGCCCCCCGGCAGAGGTGAAGGTGGAGGTGGCGGCAGCAGCAGTTGCAGCAGTGTAGGCAGCAGCAGCAGCGACAGCAGCTGCAGCAGCGGTGGCGGCTGCAGCAGCAGCAGCAGCAGCAGCAGCAGCGGTGGCGGCGGTGAGGAAGGAGGACATACTCCTGCCCATTCGTGCGTTGTTTTCCCTTCAGTGGGCGTGCATACTGCTACGGTGGGTAGACTCACCTAGGGAGGGCATGAGAACCTCACCATGACAACGGCATGGTTGTGGCTAACGAGGGACGAGGTTGGACTGGTGTAGGTCACCGTGGGCCGCGGACAGTGGCGAGCTGACCAAGACTGGTGGCCATCTAGTCGATGACTGAGTTCAACTCTGGTTGACCTTGTCGGTCAGTATCCATGTACCAAGCTGCTGAGGGCAGTGACCTAGAATTTGGTCTTGGACTGGCCTTGGTTCCATCTGGTGTGGGGGGTGGGGGTTAACTTCGATGCTCAAGTCTGCATGAATGATACGGAGGCTGGGATGATCGACCGATTGCTGTGGTTTGTTAGCTGCATCGGGTAATTACTTGTTCATTAGTCTGTGATGGAGTTGCACTACCGCGTAGGTGGCACATTTCGACACACCGTGTCGCCATTTTCGTGTGTTTTTCTCTTCCTTTTTGATGGTACATTGTTTGGTACGTTTTGATGGTACGTACCGGTGCAGTGTCTTGTTACGAGTGTGGAGACGAGTTACTCACGCGTCTGTGATGAATAGATCTGCGTATGCCACACACTCGTCGTCTGTTATTACGAAAATGTGATCTCGTAATTAAGTTATTGGGCTAAATACAGCGGAATAGAATTATATCGGTATACTAGGGTTAGTAGCGATTATCTCTTTCTCTCTCTCACGCTCTCTCACGTTCTTTCTTTCTTTCTCGCTTTCTCTCTTTCTCTCGCTTGCTTGCTCTCTTTCAATCTGTTTCTCTTTCTTTTTTCTCTCTCTCTCTCTCTCTGCGTCACCCATTCTATTGTTGAACATGAGCATTAGCGGTTCCCCGTGAGCATTTTCCCGCGTGTATGCATGTATAAATAAATAGCAATTCGTAAGTCTGGATAAGCTACGATTCGGCAGGATTTACATTTCCGGCTGCGATATTTGAATGATGCGTACCCTGTTAGACAACGCTCTCGTCGTTTCACGAGCGCGTGACTGACGCATAGACGTGTGACAGCGGAGAACTGATAGACAGGGTAGGGAGTTATATCTCTTGAAATCGAGCAGATTGAAAAAAACGTGCGGAAATCGCAGGTTTCCTGTACGCGCGCGAACCGCGTGTTCAGCTGCACCATAGACATATTAAATAAATTTATAAGTAGCGATGAATGACCGTTTATGTATTTCTGTGATTGTAAACGTGTGTTCGCGCAGGTATATGATAAATTTGAATAAATGAATTCGTTGAGACAGAATCCTGATTGTATATGTGCGTTCTTCTCGCCCACTGCCCACATCTGATAATGTTTGCATGTTCACAGTCGTCTATAATGAATTACAACACTGTCAAATACCGTAACACTATAAACATAGCCGTTTTCCTTGCGAGTATTGCTATGTATGTAACCAGGAGTCTATCAATAGGAGACAGACTAAATTGATAGACTCCTGATGTAACTTGTAGTTTGATTGCATGTTGGTTGCGAGTCCTACATCAAACATCAGTTGCACTCGCTGAGTGCTTGCTCACAACAATGCACCTAACTCTATAAGAGCGATAAGCACTCTCGTGGTTTTCCTTCTTCCCCTTACCGGCTTGCGATAAACTTCCGATTCATATTAGGAAACGGTACAGCTGCATTACTTAGAAAGAGAGAGAGAGAGAGAGAGAGAGAGAGAGATAGAAGAAAGAAGCGATAGTAAAGCAAATACTTTTAATCCTGAATGAACATTAGATTTCTTTCAAATCTATACGGTTAAAAATAAAGTTAAATAGGCTGTATGGAAAAGTACATTCTTATCAGATAAATATATATAACTATATACAGTAGCAGTAGCAGGACAGTCAATAGCCGAAAACGCCATTGATATATACTAAATAAATGTTAAATAATAGAAAATACGTCTATAATATAAATGCCGGGAGAATAATAATTGCGCACTGATGAAATTTATCTGATAATTTATTTTTTCTCAATAATTATGTGGCGCCAAATCTTGCCGAATTTCCCTATATTATATATGGGGAAGATTTTATTTGTTTGTTCAGTATTTCACCAAGAGGAATATTAGTTGCAATTATGGATACATTTACGATATGCTAACGAGTAGTTTGTTATGAATCGTTGCGATACATGTACATCGTTGTTGCTGCGAGTTAAGGCGACAAAGAGGATCGGTTGCCACATCCTCCCGTGTCCTTCCCGACCGCAAGCCATTTCCCATCCTGTTTCTACCATGCACCTAAATCGCCAGCTTCTGCATCATCGAGCATCAACGATGCAACTCCGAGTAACTCAGGGTAGTAAGGTTGATAGCTGGGGTGAGAGTGGAGGCAGGGGGCACAGCAAGCCGCCTGTGTATATCAACATACGCATATATCGGTGTGTATGCATGACGTTTCACTGCGAGCGCTCGTCCGTTAGAGATATCAGGCTTTCGTCGTCTGCCTCAGCTCCGATCCAGACCTATCGTTAACGTCGTCAGTCCTGTAGCCATCGTCAACGTCGCCAGTCCTGCAACCATCGTCAACGTTGCCAGTCCTGCAACCATCATCAACGTTGCCAGTCCTGCAACCATCATCAACGTCGCCAGTCCTGCAACCATCATCGACGTCGCCAGTCCTGCAACCATCGTCGACGTCGCCAGTCCTGCAACCATCGTCAACGTCGCCAGTCCTGCAATCATCGTCAACGTCGTTAGCTCACAAGAATGTTGACGTTGAAACTGACGTTGTTTCTGGTAACGAGTGTCGTGCTCGTAGCTGGTGAGTCGTAGCGGTCTCCGGTCTGGCTGCGGTCAGCAAGCTATGCAACGCGCTTTAAACCTTAATTACCTTAATTAGTATCAGAGGTTAATTAGGAGTGATGATTCGTCTGTCCGATTTTGCGCGTTCCGGTCATGTTTATGGTTACGTAATCTTGTGCGCCATATATATATATATTTTTTGTTTATAATGACAAATTTAATGGCAATTTGTCATTATTACCCCCTATTATCTACTTCTGATATATATATATATGTTGTTTTGTTTTGTTTCTTTATCTAGTTGTATTATAAATTATATATATTATACAACTAGGTAAAGAAACAAAACAAAGAGAAAAATGACACAATGCCCACCGCTCTAAAGTTTGGACGTCTGCAGAAGCAAAAAGTAAAATTGGAAGTTTTAAAAAGGACTCGAACTGAACTCCTACTATATTAATGTATGAGCCACGAGGATAGACCTTTTTTATTTATAACTCGCCTATCTTGTTTATTTATTTTACGTGTACCTTGCAGCGGTAGAAAGGAAGTACCCACATCGGGAGTGCTATTGCACACTTGATATTAACCCCGTGTGCGGCTCCGATGGTCAAACCTACATAAACCCATGTCGCCTGATCTGTGCACGCAGAGAAACCCCAGGTAACTCCTCCCTCTCACGAATTTAGAATGATAACCCTATATGTTTATGTTAAACCTTATATGTTATATACTTAATACGCTCTTGTTATTATCAAGAGCTAATAATACATTATATTAGATGTACATGCTATTAGATATTATGCTTACAAATATTATATTAATTAATTATATTAATTAATTAATTAATAATTATATGATTAGCTATTTATATATTTATGTTAGCATTATATGTTGTTATTATGTATAAAAGGCGCTATAATAATCTGTAGTATCTATTGTTAACATACTTGGCCACTTGTCACCATCAGCGATCAGCTTTCCGATAGCAGCATCAGTCATTGTCATCATCCTGAAACCAATCATCATCGTCGTCGTCGTCGTCGTCATCGTCGTCATCGTCATCAGCAATTCAATAATTATCATACCAGTTATGGTCTTCATCAACATCATCGTCGTCATCATCAGCATTCCAATCATTACGAAGCAGTCATTGTCGTCATCATCATCGCGTGTACATCATCTGCCATGTTCGTCTGCAGAGTTGAACCTAGGTGCCGCATGTACCGGAAAATGTCCTTGTGACGACATCGACAACAGAGGAATGACACTGGGATAGGTTCTCCACGATCGGAAAGGGAAGCTGACGCGTGGACGAAGTCGCTCCACCGACGCAACATGGTGTTGGGCGAATTCGCCTCGCCGTCCTAACAGATTCCCAAGCACTGCTGGTTGAATTTTTTTGTCACAATAACTTTATAATTGTTGTTATTACATTATTTAATGCGCATACGATGTGAAAATGGTGACGGGTGTATGGAAAGCATTTTGTTCAAAAAGTCGATAAACCAGGATTTTGGTCGATAAACCTCGTTTATTGAACCAAAAACCTGGTTTATCAACGAAACTATCATTATCGACCGATAAACCAGGTTTTTCGAAAAAGGAACTGATTATTTCGATAAACCAAAAACCTGGTTTATCGACGAAACTATCATTATTGACCGATAAACCAGGTTTTTCGTCGATAAACCAGGTTTTTCGTCGATAAACCAGGTTTTTGGTTCGATAAACCAGGTTTATCGACTTTTTGAACAAAATCCTTTCCATACACCTAAGGTGTCTCGTGGTAAATTACATTAATATTGAAAGCATTTATAAACGTAGAGAAGGTCTCTCTCTCTCGCTCTCTTTAACTGGTCCGGACACAATACAAAACAAATAAAATACGCTGAATATAATCTCAACTACGGTTTATTGTGATATTTACAATATTCCCGTTTCTGTGCACATGATTACACAGAACTAACAATGATCATAGCAATGATCAATGTACGAACACTTATATAGCCAGAAGCGATTTCTCTCTCTCTCTCTCTCTCTCTCATATCTCTATCTCTATCTCTATCTCCATATCTATCTCTATCTCTATCTCTATCGCTATCGCTATCGTTATCATTATCTATATATCTCTATATCTCTCTCTCTATATCTATCACTATCATTGTCTTTGTCTTGCTCTCTCTCTCGCTCACTCTTTCGCTCTCAACTCTCTCCCATCCTATCATTCCTCCCGCCTTCTCCTAATTAAAATATTTCCCGTCTCTGTCTCCATCCTATTTCATACACTTTTAGCCGCAACCCTCCAACACGCCCGAAGATGCTCTTCTCGCGTTCTCACCTTGGAAGCATTCGGAAGAGTAACTGCTCCGTCTTCTTCTGTTCCTCAGCGAGCTGCTCCGTCCGTTCATCCACCAGCTCTTCTAGATTGTTCGCATATTTCTCCATCATGTTGATCATGTTATCGATGAGGTTCGTCTGTCTGCCGGAAAAGAAAAGCGTCAGAAATGCAATTAATCACCGCGAGGGGACGCCTCTGTAGCTACGATGATTATATTTCTCTTCTCTGCCGCCAGGGCCTCTAATATGGTGGAACCCGCGTGACGCTGCGTGAACAGGATGTCCGGCATCATTGACTACTGCAGCACCCGGCAGTTAGATGCGATATTGTATGACTACTAGGCACTTAGGTTATGACTACTAGGCACTTAAAAAAAAAAAACCCTACCCTAACCCTAACCTAACCTAAACCCTAACCCTAACCTAACCCTAACCCTAACTTTTTTTTATTAAAAAAAAATTAAATTAAATTAAAGTGCCTAGTAGTCATACAATATCGCATCTAACTGCCGAGTGCACTACTGCAGACCGAAACCGGATATCCTCCGTGAGCTATTATAGAAGATACTTCGTCGTCGTTTATATGAAGAAAAATAGCAGCACGTCGTTATCGTCTGCCGATAAATCTACGACTATCGGCGCCCCGTTCTTTGCGGTACCCACTGACTGACCACACTTTGCGGTGACCACTGACTGACCACACTTTGCCGTGACCACTGACTGACCACACTTTGCGGTGACCACTGACTGACCACACTTTGCCGTGACCACTGACTGACCAGTGTGTGTGTGTGTGTACTGCTAGCTATGTTGTATGCCTATACCTTCATCATCACTGCGCCTCTCTGGACGAGATGAAATCCGCCTATTTCGTCTAGAACTTCCTTACATCCAGGACTGACGTGTATTCGGAGAGCTGAAACGCCAAAACGACATTAGAATAAAAACGGGATTCAAATGGAAAATATTTAACAGCGGGCGAAAACTCGTGGCTAATACTAATACCTAATACCTAATAATAATTGTATAAGACTCTAATGCAAATAATGGCGACATAAGTTGCAGCAAGCGTAATTCTCAGACGGCGCCATGTTTCTGTTATTCGGTCTTCGTTAAGCCCGGCGCACACGTGAGTAATTTTACTCAGTAAAAGGATGCATGCGTCAAATTACTCATTTGTGCGCCGGGCTTTAGTCGATAGACAGATTCAAAAGCAAAGCCTCGCATTTTTCAATTCGGCAGTAGGTTTTTGCAACTGCTGTTATATTCCAACGCTACAAGACCGATAGAACGATAGGAATTCTACACGCGTCATCGGCGAATCAGTTTCTAATAATCTTAGTAACTCTGATCGAGTTTCTAATAGGCTTATAACCCGCACTTACATAGATATGATTACATAGATATATACAGCGACGTGTGTTAGCAGATATCCCCTTGCTCTGTGCAGGCTAAGTTAGCACGAACCATTCTATCTATCGTTCTGACTACACAATTTCTTTATTTAACTCCCCCTCTCCCGTTGAGAGACGAGCGATGCGAGGGTCTGAATTTGTTACTATAAAAAAACGCATGAATTCGCGCGTTGCAACCATAGAACTAGAACAGAAGAGAATCTTCTAGAATAGAACTTCTAATCTAGTTCTATGATTTGCAACCTGACCACGCACGGCGGACCGGAAGTCGTGCTGCAGTGAGTTACGAGCAGAAATCTTTGATGGAAATGCCGTAGGTAATCTGACACCGAGCTAGGCAGGTGTAAAGCTAGCAGCACACTTCACCATTTTCGTTGCGCGCACAGGAAGTGTGCTGTGACGCGGCGACGGCCACAAAAATTGCCGACCACGAAAATTGCCTGTGCGAGCAACGAAAATGGTGAAGTGTGCTGCTAGCTTAAGGTGTAGCATGACCCTATTAGCAGACACGTCAAGTCTCACGCATACGCATTTTGGTCAATTCTCACGCTCTCACGCTCATTTCTGAAGTTCTCACGCAAAAATCTAAATCAATAAATCAATAATTAAAACCCCTTATTTTCAGTCCCAGATACCAGTATACTAGTATCAGAAGGCTAAGGCCCGATCAACAGCGCCGCTCCGCGGCCGCCCAGCTAGCTAGCTCGCTCCGGCCGTATAATTCGTATACGCTATAAAAAGCGGCATTTTATCGTCGCGCATTTTATTTGCCTGCTTGGAATCCAATATCCCGCCTGGATCAGTGGATGATGGCTTTGCAGGTTACTGAGGTATTTTGTTTACTTTTCAATTCTCAGCTTGCACTTTTACTAGACTAGTTTCTAGTACTAGCTAGTTCTAAAGTTTATCTAGGTTTAGATCTAACGTAGATCTAGATCTAGATCTACAGTAGATATAAAAATGTTGCACTGGGACTCGACTGGGAGCTTGACTTGAGTGTGAATTTTTTCTGTTGACGTTCAAGTAAATGAGTAAGAACTTATATTTATAAAGACAATAAATCATACCATAGGTATGCACTAAATTGCACCATTTCAAACCTCAAATTTCGAAAAGCTCCATACCGTGGGAGTGGGGAAACCACCCTCCCACACCCTCCCACCCCCTTGGTCGCTTCGCTCCCTCGGCCGGTGTCGCTCCGTCAAACGCTGAGTCTCACTCTTAACCATTTCTCAAACTTGGCATCTCTGTATTAGCAACACACATTGTAGAATCTCTACTCTCGTTCAGCCACAAATAAAGAAGGTCTGACAAGGCCAGCAACATTTGGGTAATTCAAAGGCGTATGTCGCCTAGCAACCGCTGAGAACGCTATAACGTTTGGAACGCGAGAAGAAAAATCGTAAAATGGGTTGGATTTTGTTGCAGACGAAACGAACAAAATCGGCTCGCGTAGATTTTTCAAACTAAGAAACTCTGGCCTTCGTGCAAACAGTTACACAATAACAGGGCGCCAGCGGTGAACGACACGATCGAGGTTACCGGAGCGAAATGGAAATTCGACCGTGTGCTTAATGTTTACTACTGCGCATGCGCGGGAGTGCGTACTTACCGAGACCGCTGGACTCCATGCGAGAGGCGTAGTTAACTGTATCGCCAAAGAGGCAGTATCGAGGCATCGTCAGTCCGACCACACCGGCAACAGCAGGCCCTGAACAACACACAACACGACGCTGCATATCCCACACGTATTCACACACACACACACACACACACACACACGCACGCACGCACGCACGCACGCACCACGTTCCGCGCTCGGCTCACGCACGCACACACGCAAGCGCACGCACGCACGCACCGCAACACACGAACACACACACACACCACACACGTCAGACACACCACAAACACCAACAAACCCACAACACTGTATACCACGCATAACACGCTCCACGCATACACGCACGCATACACGCACCATACACGCGACGCACGCATAATGCGCGCAATGAGGCGACGCGCACATTATACGCACTCATACAGCCACATAAACGCAGACCACGCATACACCGCGCAGCCATACACGCGCCGCATACACGCCGCACGCATACACAGGCGCATAATCACGCACGCATACGACGCACGCATCACACGCACGCATACGCGCAGCGCACCACATTATTGATGTACGTGCATATATAATATTAGAAGTAAAGTCACACACCGAACACCCGTGTAGATGTAAACAAAGTCAAGGTGAAGAATAATGGTGTTAAAAGTTTAAATTGACAAGCTTTCGAGATATATTTCTTTATCAGGTCAGCAGACATGGAATAAATCAAATAATCAAAAACAAATACAATGCGTTATAGATAATGGAAAAATGAATGAGTTCACACAATTCTCGCGTTGCCCATGATGGGCGGACGACCAAAAGAACACCGACAGCACATATATATACACACACAAAAAACACACCCAAACATCACACATCCACACACACACACACAACACTACACGCAGTCATGTGTCGACGTGAGGCTATTGCTAATATGGTGTCAGTTGGCAGCGCACAAAACACTGTACGCTCATCGAATGTAGGTCCGGTTGTTAATAAGGCAGCAACCGAAAACCATGCAATTGAGGCAATTAGATCTTAGGGTGTTCACAAATCTATCCGCATAAGCAGCGTTGTTTCGCCAATATGTAAATTTGGCATCTATCGAAAAGAAAAGATATATCTTCGGGTATATTGATGATTTTTTTGGAAGCGCGCATCTCTGAAACTTTCTGATTTGCAAAATTTCATCGACCATGTCAATCTTTTCCACCGCGTGTCTAAATTAACATACTCTACATCCTCTGATAGTCTTCCTTGTTTGGACATGGTTTTGCTATTATATCTGGTATAAACTTAGTTACCTCGGTGTTTTCTACAACCCACTGACTAACCCATTCTTTATCTATTTTTGTATTCTTCGTCTCACCCTCAGCCACACCTAAAAATAGGCCTCCCGCATTCTCAATAATTTATTGTGTTACGAATTAACAAAAGATATGCAGCTCAAAAACTGATTTTAAAAAACAAAACCTTCTAACATGATTTGAATGTTTTTATACGCCGTGGCTATAATCAATCTGATCTATTA